CCTGGTAGAGAAGATTGAAGAATACATCTACTATCATAAACGAAGATAACTTTCAATGCCAATAAGGTTTTACTGTGAAAAATTAAATACTTATATTTTCAGGAACAAAGCTAATACAGATTGCCAGATATACTTGTACCTTCAGCATTAGAGTTTTTAATAGTAGACCTCATAGCATCATTTTTTTCTAAGTCAAAGTCCAGATGCATCAAGTTACTAAAACCCTTTATTCAAGAATGCCGAATTATGTGATTTTGTTTTAAGACTGTTATGGCCAGTTTGTTGTCAAGGTATTTATTATTGGGCCTCTCTTTGGTCCCATTCACCATCTGAAGCCAACACTGAGTTACAGTACCTTCGAACTCAGTGAGCCAGATCCAGTGTCCCTGGGGTCATTTCAGTGACTTAACATGCTGCAGCTCTTAATGAAATCATATAATTACTCATCATCACTTAATAAGATAAAGGCATCCTGAAAAAGCCAAAGAGAAAGCGCTAAGTGGATTTTTGAGTCATAAATACCACCAACGGGCATGACAATGAATGAAAATGAAAGGACATGGAAATCATTTGGTAAATTTCCCAAGAATAGGGTCATCGTTCCTCTTGTCCTGAGGGGAAAATGTCTTGAGAAAAGTCATATCATTTTGAAAATTTTTATGCTCATTTAAATCATGTAAAATGCAGTTTTTGGTGCTGTCTTGATTTTACCTATTTCTAGTTCCCTTGCACCATTGAGTAGCCCCTTCTCTTTCAGTGGGTAAACTTGGAGGCATTTTCTAGGTTTCTGGGGTCTAATCGCTGTCTAAGCACACATCACTCCCATTAAACTGTCAGCGCATCAGCTCGCTAAAGGCAGCTGTTGTTTGGCTCAGGTGGTCTCATGATCTCCCCACCCCATACCTTCAGTGTCCAAGGTCCCAAAGGAGCTGGATGAGGAATGTTTGCTGAACTACAGTAAGCTTATAGAAAAATAAGAAAAGCAGGGAATATGTTGAAGCAAAAGAAACAGGAATTTTAAGTTGTTTTAGATTCAGTCAGTGCGGAATGAGTTGTGGTAGAGATACAATGTTAACATGAAAATACTCCATATCTCCTCTTGGATATCCCCTAACACAGCAAATGAAACATGTCTGAAACCAAACCCATCACCTTTTGCTCTAAAATATGCTCTTTCTCCTATGCAGTCTTTCACAGGTCACGGTTCCACTGCCCACCTAGTGTCCTGAGCTTACAACCCAGGAGAGAGCCATCCCTGACACCTCCTTCTCCACCACCACTCCTATTTGTCATCAGTTCTGAAGCCATCTCCCTGGGCCTCCTTCATAGTTCACAATCCACTCCCTCCCTTATACCCACAGTTGCCCCCTGAGCTCGGACAATTGACATGTCTCTTTCACCTGCACATCCTCCTTACTGGTTTCTCAGCTCCAGGACTGCACACCCAAAGCCCGTTCTCTAGCCAGAGCTTCTTACCTGGTACATCATGAGTCACAGGTGTGCCAACATGCTGAATCCCTCAGCCCTTGAGAGGGCCAGAAGCGCTCCCTGCATTCATCCCAGTGTGTTGTACAAGTGCCCCTTGTCTACATACATCTTGAAGTTAGAAAGGTGGGAAGCCCTGGGCTAAAGAATCAGTGCTGTCTGTGCCAAAACAGCAGAAACTCAGATCCTGAGTTAGTCCAGTACAAGCTGGGGAGTGTTAGTAGAAAATGCATCTAGTGGCTGAGCATTGATTGGACTCATGCATTGCAGGGGAGCTTGAATGAGGGTCATAAAGAAAGGACTGAAAGGAGTCAATAGTTATTTTGCAAATAGAATTAACTTGGAGAGGAAGGAGTCAATGAGGACTCTGGGGTTCAAGTTTTAATGTCTGGAAGGATGATGACAAGATTGGACACACAGGAGAAAGTGGCATTTGGGCATGAGGGTGGGAGCGGGGGCTGGCCTTCATGAACTGGGTTTGCAGACCATGGCATTTAAAATTCAGGATGGACATTCATGTGGAAATGTCTAGCAAAGCATCTGAAATTCAATTCTAGGGCTCAGGAGAGAAAGCAAACTGGAAAAGACAGACGCAAGAGCTATTTATAAAAAGATGACACAAACAGCCAAGCTCTCCAAGAGAGAAGGCTGAGAACAGGCCACTGGGAACACTGTTTAGGGGACAGAGAAAAGGGTCCATGAAAGCAGAGTGAGAAGTCAGAGCTGTAGGAGATCTGGGAGCCCAGAGTGCTGTGGCAGCCGAGAGTTCCAAGAACAAAAATGTCAACAGCATCAAGTGTCATAATAGCACAAGGAGGATGAGGACCAAGAGGAACCCACAGAGCTTCACAATCAAGGGTCGCAGTTGACTTCCAAAGAATAATTTTCAGTAGCTGATGGTGATAGAAGCTGTGTCAGTTCAGGTTTTTCAAGAAGCAGATGCTTCTTGACATGTGAGGGATTTATTAGGAAAGAGGGAGGAAGCAGGAGTAGGTGGCAGGGGAGGGGGGAGGTCCAGGGACCACAGCATAGGTCTGACACCTGCGAGAGGAGAAGGGAAGGAAGGACTGGGGAGGAAGAACCTCAGACTTCAATGCACTCCTGAGAAGGCTGCAGCCAGGCCCGTAGGGAACCCCTTTGCAAAAGTCATCTGTTAGAGAAACCCTGCACTGGGCAGGAGTGCTCTTCAGGAGCATGCTTGTCATGCTTGTCATTGGCTTGGAGCAGCCCAGAGGAAGGGTAGCCTTGGCACTCGGAGTGCAGCTGGAGACTGTCAGCCAGCCTTTCTCCCCACAGCAGGTGCCCTCAGGGTGCATTTCCATGGCACCATAGGATACAAAGTGAGTGATCTTAAGCAGGAAGTAGAAACACTAATACTCTGGTCAAAGCTGTTCTTATCTCTATACACAGCACAGCTGAAACATAGAAGTTTAGCAGGTGGGCAAGGCCTGGTAAGGAGGCCATACTGTGGTGTTTCCACCTGAAACCATCGTAGAAATCCATTAACTAGGTGGCCAGCCAAGGTTACAGGGTTTTGTAGAATTGCTGAGACTAGAGCCAGCTCAGCGTTGTTCCTGCCTGGATCTCCACAAGCCCTGTGCCCTCCGAGCATTTCCAGTCACATATGGAAATGCTCCACCTACCATGGTGTGTCCCAGTGCAGGCTGCTGCCTTCGATGTACGTTTTTATTTTGCATATAGTGTTTCGAAGGGTCTTATTCCCTCCATTTCTCTGGTCAGGGCATTGAAGAGCTTAAGTCAGTGCACCAAAGAGAAGCGAGCTCTTCATGCCCCA